GGGGGGGGGGGGGGGGGGGGGGGGGGGGGGGGGGGGGGGGGGGGGGGGGGGGGGGGGGGGGGGGGGGTGGAAACTCCGTTATGAAAATGTCAGGATGCTTGTGGCATCTCTTAGGGGTCAATAAAAGCTTGCACTATGCCGAGATTGGTCTCCTTCAGGAGTTTAATTCAAATTAATTTCTGATGAGCATCCCTGGCCTTTTCATATGGGAGTTCCCCCAGGGGGAGGTAGCATGGCCTAGGTGTAGTTTAAAGACTTGGTATAAAATGGTTCTTAGTTGTTGCTTATTTCTTGCTTGAGTAAGACACCTATCTCTGTTAGTGGCTCTTTCCAACCAGGAAATGGTTACAGTTAAAGGGTCAAACACGATATCAAACATTGCGTCATTGATATCATCACAGTGGAATTATCATAATTTTACGCATGTTCAATTACAGCTTTTCCCAAGGCTGGAAATCCTTGAGAAAAGAAAAAAACAAAACAAAAAAACACAAAACAGTTTATATACATTGTGATTACACAAGTTAATTTTTATTGACTCAGTTTCTGTCTCTTGCTTTTTAGATTATTGGTCTCCTCAATGTATTTACGCCAGACAGATCATATGAAGAGTTTCAAGATCTGTGAGTATATGTTATTGTGCACATGTATCGAATACAGGGATTTCAAAAATCGAATTACTTATCTAGAGGGTCAGTCAGATTTAACGGTACAGTGGAACCCCGCCTTGTGGCCAATCTGTTAATATGGCCACCTCGTTATTACGGTCACTTTGTCCTGGCCTGAACAAAAGCTCAGTCAATCATTTTCTTATTTAAAGAACTCCTTTACCACAGCCACTCTGGTAACACGGCCAGATTTTTGTGACCTTTTGGTGACCAAATTAATGGGGTTCCACTGTACAATGTCTGGAAACAGATGCTTACATGTACTGATAGAAAAATAGAAAAAAATGTAATCAACTTATCAGGTAACTCACATTCAAACTGTTCTGAGACCTTGAATCTACAAAATGACTGTAGAAAATAGTTGTTGTACCTCTGATTTGTTGTAAGCCTATTTTTCTATAGTGGTCTACTTTGGAACTCTGGGGAAACAGTTGAGAGACATTTTCTGAATTTTTCAGTTTTCTTAAGGTAGTAGGAAACTTTTAACAGTCTGGGACAACAGGGCTCGGAAAAAACTCGAATTCCAGCTTGCCCTTGGGACAAGTAATTCTCAAATTTAACTTGCCCTGGACAACTTAGTCTTAGTTTGCTATTTTGATGATTTAGTTGGCGGACAATGAGCCTCATCCCTTACTCAGTGGGCAAGGGAGAATGAGAAGTTACTTGTCCAGAAGGAAAATCTACTTGTCTGGGACAATGGAATGGCACTTTTTTTGAGCCCTGGTCAAGTTAGTTGCCTTACCATGTTGTACTAAGAATGAATTGTGACCTAAATATATTTTTGCTATAAACTTTGTAAATTCTGTATTCCGTCTCTTTCCAGATATCTAGTGACAGAGTTGATGGATGCAAGTTTAGTCCAAGTGATTCAGATGGATTTGGACCATGAGAGGCTCTCATATCTAATGTACCAGATGTTGTGTGGCGTTAAAGTAAGGTTTTGGGTATTGTTATTTCAAATTCATGTCCACATGCTCAGATATGTGTAACTTCATTCAATGTATATTATACTACAGCCTGAACACAAGGCACGTGGATTTATCAAAACCATGTCATTGAAAAATGGGTCCTTTTTACCAAATGACCTAGTATGCACTTTAATTTCATGACTCCTTAAGGTCTCAAAATCACTCCAAGTAACAAAAAAGAAAACAACAACAAACAAAAACTTCAGTACACAAAAAGGAAGGTAAAAGAGTGGAGGAACAAAAAAGACTGACTGACTACTTTGCAAAAAAAAATTCTTGAGCAGGGTGAGATTTTCTTTAACATTGTTTTCATAAATCCAGACAATGAAGGGCTTGAAAAAAACTTGAATCCCAGCTTGCCCTTGGGATGATAACTCTCAAATTTTGCTTGCCTTGGACAAGTCTGAGTTTGCTCTCAGCAGATGACTTGCTTGATCCCTTGCCCATGGGGCAAGTGAAGATGAAAAATTACTTGCCCAGAAGGACAATGGGACGACACTTTTTTCAAGCCCAGCAATGTATATTACTTAACGGTAATAATTATTATTATCAATGAAATGAAATATAATCTTGTTTCTTTTTCACTCAGCACCTTCATGATGCAGGCATCATTCACAGAGTAAGTCTATAACACTTAAACAATGATGTATCACTGACTTCTACATATTCTTGTGTAACATACAGTCCAGTGTTCTAGATAACTGAGTGTTCTCAGGTCAAAAACCCAACAAGATCAGCTACATAACCCGACAAATTAATAGGAAATTTCTAATGATCTGGTGGCTGCAGTGGGAATTGCCTGTTGGAATTCCTTTTTGACACCCTACCTTGAAAACTTACCTGGAACCCTGACAGTCATGAGAATCTAAGATCTGATACATGTGATCTCAGCAGAGATGTGCTATTTGAAACCGAATTCACCATAGAAAATTATAGTTTGAAGGCTGACTGACAGTCTTTACTGTGGAGAGATCTAATTTCAAATTCTCACTTATTTTGAACTATCCCTTGGATACGACCTTCAGTCATTTACTATCGGCTATTTCGAACTCCTGCTATTTCAAACTATTTTTCCTTTGAGAGTTCAAAATAGTGCGGTTCAACTGTATAAGTAACCTCAACATTTTCTTCTTCCACACTTTTTGAACAAGTGTTATGAAGTAATTTTCATTATCAAAAGGACTTGATTAAAACCAAAGTCTCTTGTAAATATTAAAGAAAATGATAGAGAGACAATAGGAGAATTGTGATTTTGACCTTGGGAGTTATTTTACATTTGCAGGACCTAAAGCCAAGTAATATTGTTGTTAAGTCAGATTGTTCACTTAAGGTATGAAAGCTATTAATATTAATATTTATTGTACTTATAAATTTTGTCGAAGTGTTGTTTTATTTCTTAAAAGTAATATTATTTCAGCCAGGTAGTTTTTTTTTTTTTTCAAAAACTAAGGCCCGGATGTTAAATATCCTACAACTGTTTGAAAATAGTAAGGGAGATACCCAACAGTACAGGCCAGCAACATGTAGCACCTTGTCTTAGAGTGTAGTCTTGAGGAGATCATCCAATTGGAATCAACTCACGGGTCGCCTTCAGAATACCTTTGTAGATGTAGATTTACATGTAGTGTGATTTTATTTTGGGGAGCAGGGATGGTGCAGTGGTGAGAGAGGACTTGCATCTCACCAATGCAGCCTGGGTTTGATTCCAGCCAATTGCCATTGTGTGGTTGGTTCTCGTTACTCTGATGGTTTTTCTCCAGGTTCTCCAGTTTTGCTCCTTCTACAAAAATCAACACTCCAAATTTCAATTCAAACAGGATAGAGGACCTGCGTGAAAACCAGCTAAGGCTGATGTGGCTTTGTCTCTAAACATTTTAATTTAATATAAAGAATTATAGCACTTGTTTGTATATTTAACATTCAACAGATCCTTGACTTTGGCCTTGCACGTACAGCTGGTGCAGCATTCATGATGACTCCTTATGTCGTGACGCGGTACTACAGAGCGCCTGAGGTTATTCTGGGTATGGGTTACAGTGAGAACGTTGATGTGTGGTCTATTGGATGCATACTGGGTGAAATGATACGAGGAAGTGTCATGTTTCCTGGAACAGATCGTATCCTCTTCAGAAAAGAAATAGTTTTGCGTGTATTTTAATATGACATATAGTGGTATCCGGATTTCTCAAGCCCTTGATTTTTCAAACCTCTCAATAACTTGAACCAACCATTACTTCCCTTCTGTTGAACTCTGCTATTTTATCCCCGATTTCGCGAACTACCCAATTTTTCAAAGCAATTTTTGTTTCCTTTGGAGGTTTTAAAAATCGGGTTTCCATTGTAATGCTGTCATCATATCATGTGATCTTCTGGCTGAGCATCACTCTGTTGGTCGAGTCTCAAGATGTCTTGTTGGGAAAAACACCTTTCTTTTTAGTGATGAAAATTTTTTAACAAACTTCCTGAAAATGTTAGTAATCACAGAAAACATTTAGACTTTCTAGTGTTGAGTAAAACATTTTGTCTTATCTTTATTTACTTTTAGTGATGTCTTTTATTGTAATTTATTTATTGTAATTTGCATAGTAATTGTTTTTTATCCTCTAAAGTTTTAACGTTTAGAAGCACGGCCCCTATGGATACTAGGCTTTGAGCTGAATGGGGTACCCTATTGAAACAAAGTTTCACTTTACATTATTTTGCTTTACTTGCACGCAGGTTGTCAAAATGTCAGTTAACAGCAACAGATCCTTTCAGAAGTACACTAACATAAATAATCACACTATCAGGGATGATGCAGTTGTGAGAGTGCTCGCCTCCCACTAATGTGTCCCAGGTTCGATTCCCGGACCTGGCGTCATATGTGGGTTGAGTTTGTTGATGGTTCTCTACTCTGCTCCAAGCGGGTTTTTCTCCGGGTACTCCGGTTTTCCCCTCTCCTCAAAAACCAACATTTCCAAATTTCAATTGGATCTGCATTCACAGGCATTTCTGAATGAGCTCTTGTGAACTCCTTGGTGCTCCGTGAGTAAACAAATTACATGTTTACATTTTACAAATTACATATTTACATATTTACATACATACATTTTACTCTACATTGTACATGTATGGGATGTTAACTACTGATACTCCCAAATTCAAACCATTGTATATTCTGTGATATAAAATTTTAGACATGTATGTAGATGTGTGACAGCAATATTCTGTGTGACTCTGGATTTCATAATTCCTTGACCAGCTTATCAGATATTGATCAGTGGAATAAAGTCACTGAACTCCTCGGCACGCCATCAGAATCCTTTCTTAACCAGTTGCAACCATCGGTAAGAGAGCAGACACACGCCTTTTGCCACTGTTGCCTAACTGCTACATGTAGCTGCAGACCCTGGGGGGTGGGGAACTCCCATTCACCCATGTGAAAAGGTTGGAGATGCTCATCATCTCACTTAGGAGTATACATCAAGGCTCTGGTCTCACTTAGGGTGGTTATGTGACAAACTGCTACTATTTTTAGCTGCCAAAGTATCTTTTACGATAAGCTCAAGGAAATAGTAATACTAAAAAACACTTTATTTGGCTCGATCTGCTAGCATGGGCTCATTTCCTGAACAGCAGCTGGTAATCAAGCCTATTCTGTTTTAAGTGGTATCTTTTAGGCGTCAAATAAAGCTTGAACCACACCCAGATTGGTCTCGTTTAGGGGTTTAATTCAAATTATTTGACAAGTATCCCCAACCTTTTCATATAGGAGTCCCCCCTGGACT